ATAAATTCCAAAATAAGTTGTCATCTTGGAAAGCTCGATGTCTCTCTTTCGGCGGAAAGCTAGTTATTTGCAAATCGGTTCATGGACACCTAGGTTCCTATATGTTTATAAAGCACGGAATCAAGTTATAAAACGCTTGAAAGTATCAGATGTAACTTCTTTTGGGGTGAAAAATCGGACAAGAGAAAAGTTGTGTGGGTTGCTTGGCATAAGGTCTGAGCTCAAAAGCATCGGAGTTTTAGAATTGGCAGTTTGCAAGCTCTCAATTTTGCGCTTCTTTGTAAATGGTGGTGGAAATTCACACAAGATTAGGGTTCTTTTTTGCATGGTTCTGATGGTAGCTTAGGGAGGTCTCGTTCCAAACAGAAGTGGAACATGGGGAGTGTAGAGGAACATTGTATTTTCACAATCGCCTCTCTTAGAAAATTAGTTGACAACAAAACATTGAATTCTAGTCAAAATGTCACGTACTAGAATAAAACGATTCCTATCAAGGTCAACATCCTTTTCTACTAGAGGGCTTGTTTGGAAAGACGTCTGACTTTAAAGAATTTAAGCAATAGATGAATCTAATTCATGTCTGTTATGTGTCCCATATGTCTCTTTAAGGAGGAATCTGAAACCATCTCTTTCTTGAATGCTCTACATGAAAGGAAGTTTTAGCTTATCTTCATAATTGGTGGAATGAGATTCCACTACTTCAAGCTCCTCCACACCTACTGTGGAAGACCTACTGAACAGCTATGATAATAGGAAGAAAAGGAACATCAACATTGGAACATTTTTGTTGGAATTTTTTTTCCTGTGATCTGGTCCTATAGAAATGACAAAGTGTTTCATGGCAAGTTTAAAAATTGCAAGTCTATCTTCTATGAGGTACAAATTCTCTCGTTCCCTTGGTTCATAAGTAGAATTAAGCAAGCTAAGATTGTTAAATGGGAGACTTGGACCGGTCAGCCCAATCTGATATGTAATTCTATTTAAGTTGTTATTTTTTAGCGCATCTCTAGGGTTTAGTAAATTTCTTTCTGTTAAAAAAACCAACAAAAAAAAACTACGATTCAAGGTACGGGCAATGTTAGGTAAAGAGTTTTTATTTTTATTTTTATTATTTTTATTTTGTGCAATCTAGCATGGTTTCAACATACTACAAAAAAGTTTTCTATTTCAATGTTTTTGCAATCACATACTCTCGACTTCTTTCATTAATTTCCAAACTGAAAATGGTATCCTGACAAGTTTCCACTCTTACTATTATCGATATTTCCTAAGTAGCCTTAACACACTTGATTTTGGATTAAAACCTATTTTAAACAAAACATTTTTGTAACTAGTGTATGTTGTAAACATTATTAATATGGTCGTGCAAGTGACACTAATTTGTTGAACAGTTAAGGTTAAAATTCAGAAGTCTTTTAACTACGATTCAAAGTACGAGCAATGTTACGTAAAGAAACTATAGTTCCTTTTGATACCACGTCGTGACGCATCATTAGGGTCTGACTGATTTAGACATGGTCACTAGATGAAATTCCACTTGTTTTATGTTTGAAAGTATTTAATGCTAAAAAGTTTTTAAATTAATTTTCTTGATCACCAAGTGGTGCAAGACCGAGTCGTTTCAATCCCTAATGAGAATTGAGATAAGCGTGGGGTGTTTATTACCCTACAAGTCTCTTAGTTCTCAGATGTTTTTATGATGAAAAAATCAAAGAAGTACGAGCTGACTGTGACTTGTTTTTTTATGATATGATAAGCCGAATGAAAGAAAAACTTTCAAAGTAGTTTAGGAAGTTACCTTTCTCTTTTTTCGCCGCCTTAATAAGCGCCATGTAAATTTTGGCGCGTATTAACCTTTATTGAACAAATAGCAAAAAAAATTAGGTTTAACAAAAACGCACTCCATTTTACTCAAAATTACAAGTTGATTTCAGTGATATTTTACAACAAGATGCCATAAAAGGATTACAACCCGCCTTCTCAAGTAACGAATTCAGAAATTATATGGCATCAACCTTTATATAGCGTATATGTTTCCAAGAATTAAAAAATATAGATGTTTGGCAGGGTGGAAAGAAATAAAAAGGCCTCAATTTCTAATTCTAGCCCTCATTGTATGTGGAAATAAAAAATATGTTTATTGTTGGTAGAAAACTATAACTATAAGTCAAATGAAAAATATAACTCAAACATTGTCTTGTTGTGCTTGAAACACCTATCTAAGAACATCAATGGATCCAAAAATTAAATGTGTTTTAATTTCAAAAGTAGTCTAAATCAATAATGACATAAGATATATTTCCTGCAGAAATTAAATTTTAATTTTCTAAAGGTAATTAATTCTCACTATAATTTGTTGAAGGCTATATATCCATGCTTTTTAGCGAACTGTTTCAACATTTATGATATAGTCTTAAACAACGCATAAGTGGATTAAGTAAGAAACATAAGGCTAATTCAAAAGTACAACAAATATTTATATCTTATGTAGCTACTTCTTGCACATAAATATCGATAAACAAACTACAAAGTACACACATAGGTTTGGAGTGGGTTACAAAAATGAAACGTACTTGAACACATATTTAACATACATACATAACATACATATATATAGCACTCTTATGCAGCAAACAAATTTGTGCGACTTGTTTCATTATGTTCATGCATCACCTACAATCAAGAACCGTACTCCCCAGGATTTATCTTATTCTTGTTCTTGATATGTTTTGCAGTTGATGCAATCACTTTTGCGGTCTTCTCAGCCATCATAGTTGACACATGCTTCCTGTTTGCTGGCATCACAGTGGCCTTTGATGTCTTTCCATCACTCCTGTTTGACCCATAGTTCTGTTGCTGTTGCTGGTTATCCCCCATCAGATTCTCCTATTGTTTGTTACTTTTTCTGCCTCTAGAATGATATTTTTTAATGGTTCAAATTATGTTTGTGATGAAGGAATAAGAACAATCAGGTCTATGTCATTATATAATGTTGCAGGAGCTTCCCAAAACCCTCATTTCCGTGTGTGTGCCTGCATGGCAATGTGTAGGAACTTAATTAGGAATATACATGAAATTTATTTGTTGAGTGAGGGTGTGACTTGGTGTGATACATCATAATAATAGTATTTTCTTTGAAGATAAACAAGAGTTTTCAGCAGATTACCAAGCTTATTTATATATTTATTTATTATTATTATTATTATTATTATTATTCAAATTTCCATAAATCTTCTTCATTATTTTCCAATACTTTTTTTAAACGAATTTATAAAACGAAAGCTCTAAGCAAATACTTGGCGAAACATCAACAAATACATAAGACAATGTATTAGTTATTCTCCACAATTTCATATATTTCAAATACATGTAAGCGGGCAACCAATACAAAAAAATTAGAATTGTTTGGCAAATATATGGATTAGTAAAATGTGGAATACACATAAATAAGTGTCGACGTGGCCTCGATGTCCAACACCTACAACTACTAAACCACTCCAACCTAGACATGGAGAAAACTTGCTATAGCGGCTGTTGTGAGGGGAAAGGTAGTTCAAGTAGATGATTATACAACCAACACACCTCATAGACAACATTGGTGACAACTCAATATTCTGCTTCGACACTAGATCATGACATGTTTGGTTGTCACTTTTTTAACCATGATATAGCGTCATGTTAGAGAAAACCACAACACATGTGGTTAGGTGGGCTAAAAAAGGATGAAGAAATTGATGAAATTCAAGCTCGATATTTAGAAAGCCTTAAATAATCTCAATTGCAAACTTTTGGATGACATGATGATTGAAATGGGCTCTGGAGAGTTATGGAGAAATTGGATGTTAGCAATTATCTCGTCACCAAGAGTATCGGTATTGGTCAACGGGGCAGCAACAAAACAATTCAAGCTTCAAAAAGGATTCGGTAGGGAGACCCCCTTTCACAGTTTCTATTTATCATTGATGCGGAAGGATTAAAAGTGTCATTGTATGATGCAATGGAAAAAGGGTTTTACAAAGGGATAGGTTTGCCTAATAATGGTCTAAAACTCTCGATCTTCCAGATTGCTGACGATACTTTGTTTCTCGAAGAATGGTCAACAGAAAATGCCAAAAACCTAATGAGGTTGCTTAGATGTTTCCATGTCTCCTCTGGTCTAAGCATAAACTTTTCTAAGAGCAGAATTATGGAAGTGGGGGTTAGTAGTCAGGAGGTTGGAGATTTAGCGAGAGAGTTGTCTTGTATAGATGAAAACCTTCCCTTCAATTATCTTTGGTTTCCGGTAGGCGGAAGTATGACAAGAAAAAACAATTGGCAATGTTTGGTTGATAAATTCCAAAATAAGTTGTCATCTTGGAAAGCTCGATGTCTCTCTTTCGGCGGAAAGCTAGTTATTTGCAAATCGGTTCATGGACACCTAGGTTCCTATATGTTTATAAAGCACGGAATCAAGTTATAAAACGCTTGAAAGTATCAGATGTAACTTCTTTTGGGGTGAAAATTCGGACAAGAGAAAAGTTGTGTGGGTTGCTTGGCATAAGGTCTGAGCTCAAAAGCATCAGGAGTTTTAGAATTTGGCAGTTTGCAAGCTCTCAATTTTGCGCTTCTTTGTAAATGGTGGTGGAAATTCACACAAGATTAGGGTTCTTTTTTGCATGGTTCTGATGGTAGCTTAGGGAGGTCTCGTTCCAAACAGAAGTGGAACATGGGGAGTGTAGAGGAACATTGTAATTTCACAATCGCCTCTCTTAGAAAAATTAGTTGACAACAAAACATTGAATTCTAGTCAAAATGTCACGTACTAGAATAAAACGATTCCTATCAAGGTCAACATCCTTTTCTACTAGAGGGCTTGTTTGGAAAGACGTCTGACTTTAAAGAATTTAAGCAATAGATGAATCTAATTCATGTCTGTTATGTGTCCCATATGTCTCTTTAAGGAGGAATCTGAAAACCATCTCTTTCTTGAATGCTCTACATGAAAGGAAGTTTAGTTATCTTCATAATTGGTGGAATGAGATTCCAGCTACTTCAAGCTCCTCCACACCTACTGTGGAAGACCACTGAACAGCTGATGATAATAGGAAGAGAAGAAAAGGACATCAACATTGGAACATTTTTGTTGGAATTTTTTTTCCTGTGATCTGGTCCTATAGAAATGACAAAGTGTTTCATGGCAAGTTTAAAAATTGCAAGTCTATCTTCTATGAGGTACAAATTCTCTCGTTCCCTTGGTTCAGAAGTAGAATTAAGCAAGCTAAGATTGTTAAATGGGAGACTTGGACCGGTCAGCCCAATCTGATATGTAATTCTATTTAAGTTGTATATTTTTAGCGCATCTCTAGGGTTTAGTAAATTTCTTTCTGTTAAAAAAACCAACAAAAAAAAAACTACGATTCAAGGTACGGGCAATGTTAGGTAAAGATTTTTTTTTTTTTTTATTTATTTTTATTTTTATTTTGTGCAATCTAGCATGGTTTCAACATACTACAAAAAAGTTTTCTATTCTCAATGTTTTTTGCAATCACATACTCTCGACTTCTTTCATTAATTTCCAAACTGAAAATGGTATCCTGACAAGTTTCCACTCTTACTATTATCGATATTTCCTAAGTAGCCTTAACACACTTGATTTTGGATTAAAACCTATTTTAAACAAAACATTTTTGTAACTAGTATGTTGTAAACATTATTAATATGGTCGTGCAAGTGACACTAATAGTTGTTGAACAGTTAAGGTTAAATTCAGAAGTCTTTTAACTACGATTCAAAGTAGGAGCAATGTTACGTAAAGAAACTATAGTTCCTTTTGATACCACGTCGTGACGCATCATTAGGGTCTGACTGATTTAGACATGGTCACTAGATGAAATTCCACTTGTTTTATGTTTGAAAGTATTTAATGCTAAAAAGTTGTTTAAATTAAGATTTTCTTGATCACCAAGTGGTGCAAGACCGAGTCGTTTCAATCCCTAATGAGAATTGAGATAAGCGTGGGGTGTTTATTACCCTACAAGTCTCTTAGTTCTCAGATGTTTTTAATGATGAAAAAATCAAAGAAGTACGAGCTGACTGTGACTTGTTTTTTTATGATATGATAAGCCGAATGAAAGAAAAACTTTCAAAGTAGTTTAGGAAGTTACCTCTCTTTTTTGCCGCCTTAATAAGCGCCATGTAAATTTTGGCGCGTATTAACCTTTATTGAACAAATAGCAAAAAAAATTAGGTTTAACAAAAACGCACTCCATTTTACTCAAAATTACAAGTTGATTTCAGTGATATTTTACAACAAGATGCCATAAAAGGATTACAACCCGCCTTCTCAAGTAACGAATTTAGAAATTATATGCATCAACCCTTATATAGCGTATATGTTTCCAAGAATTAAAAAACTAGATGTTTTGGCAGGGTGGAAAGAAATAAAGGCCTCAATTTCTAATTCTAGCCCTCATTGTATGTGGAAATAAAAAAATATGTTTATTGTTTGGTAGAAAACTATAAGTCAAATGAAAAATATAACTCAAAACATTGTCTTGTTGTGCTTGAAACACCTATCTAAGAACATCAATGGATCCAAAAATTAAATGTGTTTTAATTTCAAAAGTAGTCTAAATCAATAATGACATAAAGATATTTCCTGCAGAAATTAAATTTTAATTTTCTAAAGGTAATAATTCTCACTAATTTGTTGAAGGCTATATATCCATGCTTTTTAGCGAACTGTTTCAACATTTATGATATAGTTAAACAACGCATAAGTAGATTAAGTAAGAAACATAAGGCTAATTCAAAAGTACAAACAAATATTTATATCTTATGTAGCTACTTCTTGCACATAAATATCGATAAACAAACTACAAAGTACACACATAGGTTGGAGTGGGTTACAAAAATGAAACGTACTTGAACACATATTTAACATACATACATAACATACATATATATAGCACTCTTATGCAGCAAACAAATTTGTGCAACTTGTTTCATTATGTTCATGCATCACCTACAATCAAGAACCGTACTCCCCAGGATTTATCTTATTCTTGTTCTTGATATGTTTTGCAGTTGATGCAATCACTTTTGCGGTCTTCTCAGCCATCATAGTTGACACATGCTTCCTGTTTGCTGGCATCACAGTGGCCTTTGATGTCTTTCCATCACTCCTGTTTGACCCATAGTTCTGTTGCTGTTGCTGGTTATCCCCCATCAGATTCTCCTATTGTTTGTTACTTTTTCTGCCTCTAGAATGATATTTTTTAATGGTTCAAATTCTGTTTGTGATGAAGGAATAAGAACAATCAGGTCTATGTCATTATATAATGTTGCAGGAGCTTCCCAAAACCCTCATTTCCGTGTGTGTGCCTGCATGGCAATGTGTAGGAACTTAATTAGGAATATACATGAAATTTATTTGTTGAGTGAGGGTGTGACTTGGTGTGATACATCATAATAATAGTATTTCTTTGAAGATAAACAAGAGTTTTCAGCAGATTACCAAGCTTATTTATATATTATTTATTTATTATTATTATATTATTATTATTATTATTATTATTTATTAAATTTCCATAAATCTTCTTCATTATTTTCCAATACTTTTTTAAACGAATTTATAAAACGAAAGCTCTAAGCAAATACTTGGCGAAACATCAACAAATACATAAGACAATGTATTAGTTATTCTCCACAATTTCATATATTTCAAATACATGTAAGCGGGCAACCAATACAAAAAAATTAGAATTGTTTGGCAAATATATGGATTAGTAAAATGTGGAATACACATAAATAAGTGTCGACGTGGCCTCGATGTCCAACACCTACAACTACTAAACCACTCCAACCTAGACATGGAGAAAACTTGCTATAGCGGCTGTTGTGAGGGGAAAGGTAGTTCAAGTAGATGATTATACAACCAACACACCTCATAGACAACATTGGTGACAACTCAATATTCTGCTTCGACACTAGATCATGACATGTTTGGTTGTCACTTTTTTAACCATGATATAGCGTCATGTTAGAGAAAACCACAACACATGTGGTTAGGTGGGCTAAAAAAGGATGAAGAAATTGATGAAATTCAAGCTCGATATTTAGAAAGCCTTAAATAATCTCAATTGCAAACTTTTGGATGACATGATGATTGAAATGGGCTCTGGAGAGTTATGGAGAAATTGGATGTTAGCAATTATCTCGTCACCAAGAGTATCGGTATTGGTCAACGGGGCAGCAACAAACACAAGCTTCAAGCTTCAAAAAGGATTCGGTAGGGAGACCCCCTTTCACAGTTTCTATTTATCATTGATGCGGAAGGATTAAAAGTGTCATTGTATGATGCAATGGAAAAAGGGTTTTACAAAGGGATAGGGTCTAAAACTCTCGATCTTCCAGATTGCTGACGGTACTTTGTTTCTCGAAGAATGGTCAACGGAAAATGCCAAAAACCTAATGAGGTTGCTTAGATGTTTCCATGTCTCCTCTGGTCTAAGCATAAACTTTTCTAAGAGCAGAATTATGGAAGTGGGGGTTAGTAGTCAGGAGGTTGGAGGTTGGAGATTTAGCGAGAGAGTTGTCTTGTATAGATGAAACCTTCCCTTCAATTATCTTGGGTTTCCGGTAGGCGGAAGTATGACAAGAAAAAACAATTGGCAATGTTTGGTTGATAAATTCCAAAATAAGTTGTCATCTTGGAAAGCTCGATGTCTCTCTTTCCGCGGAAAGCTAGTTATTTTCAAATCGGTTCATGGACACCTAGGTTCCTATATGTTTATAAAGCACGGAATCAAGTTATAAAAACGCTTGAAAGTATCAGATGTAACTTCTTTTGGGGTGAAAATTCGGACAAGAGAAAAGTTGTGTGGGTTGCTTGGCATAAGGTCTGAGCTCAAAAGCATCGGAGTTTTAGAATTTGGCAGTTTGCAAGCTCTCAATTTTGCGCTTCTTTGTAAATGGTGGTGGAAATTCACACAAGATTAGGGTTCTTTTTTGCATGGTTCTGATGGTAGCTTAGGGAGGTCTCGTTCCAAACAGAAGTGGAACATGGGGAGTGTAGAGGAACATTGTATTTTCACAATCGCCTCTCTTAGAAAATTAGTTGACAACAAAACATTGAATTCTAGTCAAAATGTCACGTACTAGAATAAAACGATTCCTATCAAGGTCAACATCCTTTTCTACTAGAGGGCTTGTTTGGAAAGACGTCTGACTTTAAAGAATTTAAGCAATAGATGAATCTAATTCATGTCTGTTATGTGTCCCATATGTCTCTTTAAGGAGGAATCTGAAAACCATCTCTTTCTTGAATGCTCTACATGAAAGGAAGTTTTAGCTTATCTTCATAATTGGTGGAATGAGATTCCAGCTACTTCAAGCTCCTCCACACCTACTGTGGAAGACCTACTGAACAGCTGATGATAATAGGAAGAAAAGGAACATCAACATTGGAACATTTTTGTTGGAATTTTTTTCCTGTGATCTGGTCCTATAGAAATGACAAAGTGTTTCATGGCAAGTTTAAAAATTGCAAGTCTATCTTCTATGAGGTACAAATTCTCTCGTTCCCTTGGTTCATAAGTAGAATTAAGCAAGCTAAGATTGTTAAATGGGAGACTTGGATCGGTCAGCCCAATCTGATATGTAATTCTATTTAAGTTGTATATTTTTAGCGCATCTCTAGGGTTTAGTAAATTTCTTTCTGTTAAAAAAACCAACAAAAAAAAACTACGATTCAAGGTACGGGCAATGTTAGGTAAAGAAGTTTTTATTTTTATTTTTATTATTTTTATTTTGTGCAATCTAGCATGGTTTCAACATACTACAAAAAAGTTTTCTATTCTCAATGTTTTTTGCAATCACATACTCTCGACTTCTTTCATTAATTTCCAAACTGAAAATGGTATCCTGACAAGTTTCCACTCTTACTATTATCGATATTTCCTAAGTAGCCTTAACACACTTGATTTTGGATTAAAACCTATTTTAAACAAAACATTTTTTGTAACTAGTGTATGTTGTAAACATTATTAATATGGTCGTGCAAGTGACACTAATAGTTGTTGAACAGTTAAGGTTAAAATTCAGAAGTCTTTTAACTACGATTCAAAGTAGGAGCAATGTTACGTAAAGAAACTATAGTTCCTTTTGATACCACGTCGTGACGCATCATTAGGGTCTGACTGATTTAGACATGGTCACTAGATGAAATTCCACTTGTTTTATGTTTGAAAGTATTTAATGCTAAAAAGTTGTTTAAATTAAGATTTTCTTGATCACCAAGTGGTGCAAGACCGAGTCGTTTCAATCCCTAATGAGAATTGAGATAAGCGTGGGGTGTTTATTACCCTACAAGTCTCTTAGTTCTCAGATGTTTTTAATGATGAAAAAATCAAAGAAGTACGAGCTGACTGTGACTTGTTTTTTTATGATATGATAAGCCGAATGAAAGAGAAACTTTCAAAGTAGTTTAGGAAGTTACCTTTCTCTTTTTTTGCCGCCTTAATAAGCGCCATGTAAATTTTGGCGCGTATTAACCTTTATTGAACAAATAGCAAAAAAAATTAGGTTTAACAAAAACGCACTCCATTTTACTCAAAATTACAAGTTGATTTCAGTGATATTTTACAACAAGATGCCATAAAAGGATTACAACCCGCCTTCTCAAGTAACGAATTCAGAAATTATATGGCATCAACCTTTATATAGCGTATATGTTTCCAAGAATTAAAAAATATAGATGTTTTGGCAGGGTGGAAAGAAATAAAGGCCTCAATTTCTAATTCTAGCCCTCATTGTATGTGGAAATAAAAAAATATGTTTATTGTTTGGTAGAAAACTATAAGTCAAATGAAAAATATAACTCAAAACATTGTCTTGTTGTGCTTGAAACACCTATCTAAGAACATCAATGGATCCAAAAATTAAATGTGTTTTAATTTCAAAAGTAGTCTAAATCAATAATGACATAAGATATATTTCCTGCAGAAATTAAATTTTAATTTTCTAAAGGTAATTAATTCTCACTATAATTTGTTGAAGGCTATATATCCATGCTTTTTAGCGAACTGTTTCAACATTTATGATATAGTTAAACAACGCATAAGTAGATTAAGTAAGAAACATAAGGCTAATTCAAAAGTACAACAAATATTTATATCTTATGTAGCTACTTCTTGCACATAAATATCAATAAACAAACTACAAAGTACACACATAGGTTTGGAGTGGGTTACAAAAATGAAACGTACTTGAACACATATTTAACATACATACATAACATACATATATATAGCACTCTTATGCAGCAAACAAATTTGTGCAACTTGTTTCATTATGTTCATGCATCACCTACAATCAAGAACCGTACTCTCCAGGATTTATCTTATTCTTGTTCTTGATATGTTTTGCAGTTGATGCAATCACTTTTGCGGTCTTCTCAGCCATCATAGTTGACACATGCTTCCTGTTTGCTGGCATCACAGTGGCCTTTGATGTCTTTCCATCACTCCTGTTTGACCCATAGTTCTGTTGCTGTTGCTGGTTATCCCCCATCAGATTCTCCTATTGTTTGTTACTTTTTCTGCCTCTAGAATGATATTCTTTTAATGGTTCAAATTCTGTTTGTGATGAAGGAATAAGAACAATCAGGTCTATGTCATTATATAATGTTGCAGGAGCTTCCCAAAACCCTCATTTCCGTGTGTGTGCCTGCATGGCAATGTGTAGGAACTTAATTAGGAATATACATGAAATTTATTTGTTGAGTGAGGGTGTGACTTGGTGTGTGCAAGTGTGTGATACATCATAATAATAGTATTTTCTTTGAAGATAAACAAGAGTTTTCAGCAGATTACCAAGCTTATTTATATATTTATTTATTTATTTATTATTATTATTATTATTATTATTATTCAAATTTCCATAAATCTTCTTCATTATTTTCCAATACTTTTTTTAAACGAATTTATAAAACGAAAGCTCTAAGCAAATACTTGGCGAAACATCAACAAATACATAAGAAAATGTATTAGTTATTCTCCACAATTTCATATATTTCAAATACATGTAAGCGGGCAACCAATACAAAAAAATTAGAATTGTTTGGCAAATATATGGATTAGTAAAATGTGGAATACACATAAATAAGTGTCGACGTGGCCTCGATGTCCAACACCTACAACTACTAAACCACTCCAACCTAGACATGGAGAAAACTTGCTATAGCGGCTGTTGTGAGGGGAAAGGTAGTTCAAGTAGATGATTATACAACCAACACACCTCATAGACAACATTGGTGACAACTCAATATTCTGCTTCGACACTAGATCATGACATGTTTGGTTGTCACTTTTTTAACCATGATATAGCGTCATGTTAGAGAAAACCACAACACATGTGGTTAGGTGGGCTAAAAAAGGATGAAGAAATTGATGAAATTCAAGCTCGATATTTAGAAAGCCTTAAATAATCTCAATTGCTAACTTTTTGATGACATGATGATTGAAATGGGCTCAGGAGAGTTATGGAGAAATTGGATGTTAGCAATTATCTCGTCACCAAGAGTATCGGTATTGGTCAACGGGGCAGCAACAAAACAATTCAAGCTTCAAAAAGGATTCGGTAGGGAGACCCCCTTTCACAGTTTCTATTTATCATTGATGCGGAAGGATTAAAAGTGTCATTGTATGATGCAATGGAAAAAGGGTTTTACAAAGGGATAGGTTTGCCTAATAATGGTCTAAAACTCTCGATCTTCCAGATTGCTGACGATACTTTGTTTCTTGAAGAATGGTCAATAGAAAATGCCAAAAACCTAATGAGGTTGCTTAGATGTTTCCATGTCTCCTCTGGTCTAAGCATAAACTTTTCTAAGAGCAGAATTATGGAAGTGGGGGTTAGTAGTCAGGAGGTTGGAGATTTAGCAAGAGAGTTGTCTTGTATAGATGAAAACCTTCCCTTCAATTATCTTTGGTTTCCGGTAGGCGGAAGTATGACAAGAAAAAACAATTGGCAATGTTTGGTTGATAAATTCCAAAATAAGTTGTCATCTTGGAAAGCTCGATGTCTCTCTTTCGGCGGAAAGCTAGTTATTTTCAAATCGGTTCATGGACACCTTGGTTCCTATATGTTTATAAAGCACGGAATCAAGTTATAAAAACGCTTGAAAGTATCAGATGTAACTTCTTTTGGGGTGAAAATTCGGACAAGAGAAAAGTTGTGTGGGTTGCTTGGCATAAGGTCTGAGCTCAAAAGCATCATGAGTTTTAGAATTTGGCAGTTTGCAAGCTCTCAATTTTGCGCTTCTTTGTAAATGGTGGTGGAAATTCACACAAGATTAGGGTTCTTTTTTGCATGGTTCTGATGGTAGCTTAGGGAGGTCTCGTTCCAAACAGAAGTGGAACATGGGGAGTGTAGAGGAACATTGTATTTTCACAATCGCCTCTCTTAGAAAATTAGTTGACAACAAAACATTGAATTCTAGTCAAAATGTCACGTACTAGAATAAAACGATTCCTATCAAGGTCAACATCCTTTTCTACTAGAGGGCTTGTTTGGAAAGACGTCTGACTTTAAAGAATTTAAGGAATAGATGAATCTAATTCATGTCTGTTATGTGTCCCATATGTCTCTTTAAGGAGGAATCTGAAAACCATCTCTTTCTTGAATGCTCTACATGAAAGGAAGTTTTAGCTTATCTTCATAATTGGTGGAATGAGATTCGAGCTACTTCAAGCTCCTCCACACCTACTCTGGAAGACCTACTGAACAGCTGGTGATAATAGGAAGAAAAGGAACATCAACATTGGAACATTTTTGTTGGAATTTTTTTTCCTGTGATCTGGTCCTATAGAAATGACAAAGTGTTTCATGGCAAGTTTAAAAATTGCAAGTCTATCTTCTATGAGGTACAAATTCTCTCGTTCCCTTGGTTCATAAGTAGAATTAAGCAAGCTAAGATTGTTAAATGGGAGACTTGGACCGGTCAGCCCAATCTGATATGTAATTCTATTTAAGTTGTATATTTTTAGCGCATCTCTAGGGTTTAGTAAATTTCTTTCTGTTAAAAAAACCAACAAAAAAAAACTACGATTCAAGGTACGGGCAATGTTAGGTAAAGAAGTTTTTATTTTTATTTTTATTATTTTTATTTTGTGCAATCTAGCATGGTTTCAACATACTACAAAAAAGTTTTCTATTCTCAATGTTTTTTGCAATCACATACTCTCGACTTCTTTCATTAATTTCCAAACTGAAAATGGTATCCTGACAAGTTTCCACTCTTACTATTATCGATATTTCCTAAGTAGCCTTAACACACTTGATTTTGGATTAAAACCTATTTTAAACAAAACATTTTTTGTAACTAGTGTATGTTGTAAACATTATTAATATGGTCGTGCAAGTGACACTAATAGTTGTTGAACAGTTAAGGTTAAAATTCAGAAGTCTTTTAACTACGATTCAAAGTAGGAGCAATGTTACGTAAAGAAACTATAGTTCCTTTTGATACCACGTCGTGGCGCATCATTAGGGTCTGACTGATTTAGACATGGTCACTAGATGAAATTCCACTTGTTTTATGTTTGAAAGTATTTAATGCTAAAAAGTTGTTTAAATTAAGATTTTCTTGATCACCAAGTGGTGCAAGACCGGGTCGTTTCAATCCCTAATGAGAATTGAGATAAGCGTGGGGTGTTTATTACCCTACAAGTCTCTTAGTTCTCAGATGTTTTTAATGATGAAAAAATCAAAGAAGTACGAGCTGACTGTGACTTGTTTTTTTATTATATGATAAGCCGAATGAAAGAGAAACTTTCAAAGTAGTTTAGGAAGTTACCTTTCTCTTTTTTTGCCGCCTTAATAAGCGCCATGTAAATTTTGACGCGTATTAACCTTTATTGAACAAATAGCAAAAAAATTTAGGTTTAACAAAAACGCACTCCATTTTACTCAAAATTACAAGTTGATTTCAGTGATATTTTACAACAAGATGCCCTAAAAGGATTACAAACCGCCTTCTCAAGTAACGAATTCAGAAATTATATGGCATCAACATTTATATAGCGTATATGTTTCCAAGAATTAAAAAATATAGATGTTTTGGCAGGGTGGAAAGAAATAAAGGCCTCAATTTCTAATTCTAGCCCTCATTGTATGTGGAAATAAAAAAATATGTTTATTGTTTGGTAGAAAACTATAAGTCAAATGAAAAATATAACTCAAAACATTGTCTTGTTGTGCTTGAAACACCTATCTAAGAACATCAATGGATCCAAAAATTAAATGTGTTTTAATTTCAAAAGTAGTCTAAATCAATAATGACATAAGATATATTTCCTGCAGAAATTAAATTATAATTTTCTAAAGGTAATTAATTCTCACTATAATTTGTTGAAGGCTATATATCCATGCTTTTTAGCGAACTGTTTCAACATTTATGATATAGTCTTAAACAACGCATAAGTGGATTAAGTAAGAAACATAAGGCTAATTCAAAAGTACAACAAATATTTATATCTTATGTAGCTACTTCTTGCACATAAATATCGATAAACAAACTACAAAGTACACACATAGGTTTGGAGTGGGTTACAAAAATGAAACGTACTTGAACACATATTTAACATACATACATAACATACATATATATATAGCACTCTTATGCAGCAAACAAATTTGTGCGACTTGTTTCATTATGTTCATGCATCACCTACAATCAAGAACCGTACTCCCCAGGATTTATCTTATTCTTGTTCTTGATATGTTTTGCAGTTGATGCAATCACTTTTGCGGTCTTCTCAGCCATCATAGTTGACACATGCTTCCTGTTTGCTGGCATCACAGTGGCCTTTGATGTCTTTCCATCACTCCTGTTTGACCCATAGTTCTGTTGCTGTTGCCGGTTATCCCCCATCTGATTCTCCTATTGTTTGTTACTTTTTCTGTCTCTAGAATGATATTCTTTTAATGATTCAAATTCTGTTTGTGATGAAGGAATAAGAACAATCAGGTCTATGTCATTATATAATGTTGCAGGAGCTTCCCAAAACCCTCATTTCCGTGTGTGTGCCTGCATGGCAATGTGTGGGAACTTAATTAGGAATATACATGAAATTTATTTGTTGAGTGAGGGTGTGACTTGGTGTGTGCATGTGTGTGATACATCATAATAATAGTATTTTCTTTGAATATAAACAAGAGTTTTCAGCAGATTACCAAGCTTATTTATTATTATTATTATTATTATTATTATTATTATTATTGAAATTACCGTAATTCTTCTTCATTATTTTCCAGTACTTTTTATTAAACGAATTTATAAAACAAAAGCTCTAAGCAAATACTTGGCAAAACATCAGACATTGTATTAGTTATTCTACACAATTTCATATATTACGAATAAATGTAAGGGCCAATCAATACAAAACAATAAGAATTGTTTGGCAAATATATGGATTAATAAAATGTGGAATACACATAAATAAGTGTCATCGTGGCCTCGATGTCCAACACCAACAACTACTAAACCACTCCAACCTAGACATGGGGAAAACATGCTTTTGAATTCGGTCTAAGCCTGTTCGGTTTTTTTCATAATAAGGATAATTTGTTTTGACCAAAACTAGAGCGGTTATAAAAAAGTTTTTGGTGTAAAATAACCAAAACAGGGTAACTGGCCGTTTCAAAGTGGACAAAAGGATTTTAGAAACCGGCTATTTGAAACCTATACTTTTTTAAAGCCAGATAAAACGGTTTATAAAAGACAATATTAATTTAAGAAACTGTCTACATCGTAACCGGATCCGATACCCACTTCTATTCGATCATCACTGCTACCTTGAAATAGGGTAAATGTTTCTTCGAGTCACCAAAAGTCACTAAAAGGTGAAGTTTCTGGGGCACATTGTCAACCAGAACGACATTCTGGTTGATCCGACTAAGGTTGAGGCTGTGATGAGGTGGGAGGTTCCAAGGCCGCCATCTGAGATTCAAAGTTTCCTTGGGTTAGCAGGTTACTATCGGAGATTCATCTAGGATTTTTTCAAGGTAGCGGTTCCTCTGACCCGATTGACAAAGAAGACTGTCACTTTTCGCTGGGGACCAAGCAACATGCAACTTTTGAGACCCTGAGGCAGAGATTGTGTGAGGCGCCGATTTTGACCCTGCCGAAGGGTGTTGATGACTTCTTGGTTTATTGTGATGCCTCAATCACGGGTTTGGGGGCAATTTTGATGCAGAGGGGTCGTGTGATCGCTTATGCTTCGAGGCAGCTAAAGCCTTATAAGGCGAACTATCCGACGCATGATTTGGAGCTGGGAGTTGTGGTTTTCGCCCTCAAGATTTGGCGACATTACCTCTATGGGGTCCGCTGTACTATTTACACGGATCATAAGAGCCAGAGGTATCTGATGGATCGGCTGAATCTGAATATGAGGCAACACCGGTGGTTGGATGTGGTGAAGGATTATGATTATGAGATCCTTTACCATCCGTGGAAGGCTAATGTAGTGGTCGATGCTCTCAGCCGTAAGGCGATCGCAGCTCCGATCTGGGATATTTGTTTGAGGATGACCGTGATTACTCCGCTTTTGGAGCGGATTCGTGAGGCTCAGATCGAGGCTATAAAGGAAGAGAACCGATAGAGTAAGCGCATTGTGCGTCAGGTGTCTTCATTTGATTATGATAGCCGAGGTTTATTGATTCTTCATTGGAGGGTATTGGTTCCATATTGGGGCTGTGTGCTTCAGATTCTGATAGAGGAGCTGCACAAGTCGAGGTTCTCCATTCATCCCAGGGCGACGAAGATGTATAGAGATCTTCGCCCTGATTATTGGTGGCCCTGCGTGAAGCATGATGTGGCTTGGTATGTGGAGAGGTGCTTGACTTGCAGGAAAGTCAAGGCCGAGCATCAGCGAACTCATGGCAAGATGCAGCCATTGGATATTCCCGTTTGGAAATGGTATGATATTACCAGGGATTTCATTACAAAGTTCCCTCGGACTACGCGCATAGTGGATTTGATTTGGGTCATCGTGGATCGATTGACCAAGACCGTGCAATTTATCCTGATTCAAGAGAGTATCTCTACGGAGAAGTTAGATGAGGTATACATCAGGGAGGTTGTAGCACGACATGGGGTGCTGATTTTGGTGGTTTCACACAGGGATGTCCGGTTCACTTCCAGATTTCGGAAGAGATTCCATGACGAGCTGGGTACTCGTCTCCATTTCAGCATGGTGTTCCATCCGCAGACTGACGGTCAGAGCGAGCGGACTATTTATACCGTGGAGGATATGCTTCGGGCGTGTGTTTTGGATTTCGGTGGGAGTTGGTATACGTATCTTCCATTAACAGAATTTTTGTATAACAACAACAATCACGCCAGCATCGATCGACCTCCTTTTGAGATGCTTTATGGGAGGAAATGCAGGACCCCGATCTGTTAGGGTGAGGTCGGTCAGCAAGTCATGGGGAGTACGGAGGTGGTACTCAAGACCACTGAGTTGATACAGCAGGTTCGGAGTAGACTCCAGACAGCTCAGAGTCGGTAGAAGAGTTACTGTAACATCCCGATCTTAAGGTACTTCTGATATTGGGATTTATGATTTTAGTGCATTGCATTTTGGTCCATAAGTTGAGAAATGGTGAAAAAGGTGCCCAATGTGGCTTTTGATGGATTTGGGTCGGATGAGTACGTCATGCGTACATGCGTGTACGCTAAGCGTACTAAGGCGAGCCTTAGTACGCTAAGCGAACTAAGGCGAGCCTTAGTACGTTGTTCGTACGAGGGTGGCATGCAAAACCCTAACTTTGGGGACTTGGCTCATATTTAAGCATCTTTATGGACATAAACCATATTCTTGTCCAGCCTCTTTCAGAGCTTTCGACCCTCAAGCAACCCAGAGCAAAAGAAGCCAGTTTGTGAGCCTTTAAGAGACTTTGGAGTGGTTTTGAAGAAAAAAGAAGGTGGTGTGAAGACCTTGGAGTGGAGTGCATTGCAGATCTGAGAGTTCTAGCTTGTTTGCAACCTTAAAAAGGTATAAAGCTTGCATCATTTCCACTCCATCTTCTAGATCTAGAGGTTTTCTCTTTAAAGTCTCTTTTGGTCCCAAAATGATGATTCTTGAACAAAGCATGTTCTTGACCCATTAAGTCGTCCTTTCAGACCCTTGGGATGGTCTTGAGTGATAAAAATGGGTCCCAAATGGATAGTTTTGCTCCATGCATCATGTAGAAGGTATTAATGGATTAAGACCTTGTGTAAGCACTTATTTGACATGCTAAGTCATAAAATCATAGACTTTATGACTCCTGATAGTATTTTAGCTATGGATTTGCAGTTTAGACGTAAGAGCTTTAGCCATTAATCTTTTAATGAAAGTTTTGGGGTTCTGGGAGTACTCCCACGTACTCGCAGTACGCCCCGCATACGAGGTCAACCACCCCGAAGGTGGTCAACATGCGAGGACTCAAGTATGCCCAACGTACCTTCGGTGTACGCCCTGCATACTGACTCTAAGTCGATTTGGCTGAGTTGACTCGGCTGGGTTGACTCAGTTGACTTAGTTGGCTGACCAGATTGACTTTGACCTAAAGGGTATTTTGGGTATTCTGGGATTTTGATTGAGATTGGTCATATGGTTGGAATAGGAGGCGGTTGGAGCTTTTTGAAGTCGAGACCTCATCAGCTTTTGTCCAGTTTGCAAGGTGAATTTGCCTCAATGTACTTGCGGGTCGAAGGCACCAAGGCCAACCCATGGGTTTGATATGCATTGATATGTTGAGTATGGAATAGATATGCATGATTATGCTAGTTATTGATATGCTATTCTGGTAGATCTGTAGGACTACCTGTTGATTCAGTTTGCATGATTATCTATATATGTTTTTATCTAGTATATGTCAACATATTGTGTTGGGTTGAGGTTATATTGCTCCGCGCGGTAGCCAACAAACCCTGGAGCATTCCAGATATGAGATGAGGGTAGGGTAGGGCATGCCAGACTCTTACTGAGGGTCATGAGCATTCCAGATATGAGCTAAGGACCGGGCGGTATGCCAGACTCGTACTGAGGGTTTAATGTTATTTCAGTCCGAGGAATGATCTGGTCAGGGAGCAAGCCAGACATAAGCTGTGGGCCCCGAGGGAAAGCCAGACTTATGTTGTGGGCTCATGGGTAATCCAGTCTTTTAGTTGTGGACCCATTTCATGCTATTATTGTATATATTATTTGGTTATATATTGGTAATTTGGGGGAACTCACTAAGCGTTGGCTTACAGTTTTGGGTTATGTTTTAGGTACTTCGGATGACTACGGAAAGGAGATTGCGTGAGCGTACACATCATCTTGTTATGATCTATGATTTTGGGAAAACTCTGATGACGGAAATGATTCGAAAACAATTTTGTAAACACTTTATAGATTTGAGTTGTATTTAAAAAGTTTAAATTTATCATGATTTTTGGGGATGTTACAAGTTGGTATTAGAGCCTTGGTTTGAGTGAATTGGAGGAACACTCGTGTGAATCTAATCTCAAACTAAGGAGAAAGGTTTTTTTAAGAAACTAATAATTTTCAAATTGTTTTCAAAACAATCAAAGAGGATGTAATGTGTACGATCAGCCGGAGCCAGTAAATAGACCCCAAATTACCACATTGTTTTTTGATCTTGTGATATATTAGAACAACATGTTAGTGATAGGCTAGGGATCTTTAGGAATTGCTTGATAGAATTGCCTTATTTTATGAAACCTGATAGCCTAGGGTTTTCCTTATATGAAATTGACATCATTAATGCAGTTGCTTAGTGTATGCATCATATTTGTACATAACGAAGATTCTATAGCCTGAGAATGTTTGGTTTGGCCTTATTTCTTGTTCTTGTTTGATGAAGGGCTTAGGATAGAATCAG